GCTGCTCCTCAGTGCCCAGCCTGGCCTGGGACACTGCCCGGGACCCAGGGCTTTGTAAGGAATGGAAATATGTTAATATCACTTTTTAATAACTTTGCTACACAGCCTTGTTTTTGTGCAAATTAGCTTAAAATTTCCTTTCTTTGCTCTTGTCTTTCTGTAATACTTAAAAATCAGTGCTGTGGAATAGGGAGAATGAAAGTGAAAGTGCAGGAAATCACTGAAATAGGTGGGAAAACGGCAGGGTTGTTACAGGAATGTTCACATAAGCCTCTGATATTCTTTTCATCCTCTGTGCGTGTGGGGAAATGTGTGGCCTAAAGGATATTCTGAGGAGTTGCTTGTGGAAGAGGCATCTTCTTCAAGGAAAACTTGAATATCCCTCATGTCTTCAAGTTTCTTCCCTTTTCCTTTTGTATTTTCCTGTCTTTGGAAACAGGCAGTTCTGTTCTTTACTAACCCAATGATATTCCACATAAGGCATTTTTCTTCCTGCAGACTTTTCCTATTTCCTTGCAACTGGTTTCAATATTCTGTTCAGGTGAAATCAGCTCATTTGGGGAGGGAAGAGCTGCTTTTCAGGTGGAAATGTGGAGCTGCTGTTGTGTTTTCTGTCTGCACAGCAGAGCAGTGGGTTTGCTCTCCATGCTCCCCTCTGCCAGGGTGGTTTTCCAGCTCCAGAGTCCCCAGCTGGTTCCTGCAGAGGTGTTTGTGTGTGCTGGGCAGGCTGAGGAATGTCCCTGCCTGCCCTCGGCACAGGGGAGGAGGCTGATGGTGGGAAGGGTGTTGAAGGACAGGAATTCCAAGGGCTGTACCTGGTTCCTGCCTGGGAGCTGTGTGGGTGGGGGAGTTGAGAGCAGGGATGAGTCCTGCACCTTGATCCAGGTGGGAAATGCCAGCTGAAGGCATCTGCCTCCCCAGAGGGTGTGTGCAGGGCTGGCAGCTGTCCCTGTGTCCCTGGGAGTTGAAATGCAGTTTATTGTGTGCTTCCTCTTTTTCTAAGGAATTATGGAGAATTACAGATCATGGAATGTTTGGGTTGGGAGGGACCTTAAAACCCACCCAGTGCCACCCCTGCCATGGCAGGGACACCTCCCACTGTCCCCAGTGTCCAACCTGGCCTTGGGCACTGCCAGGGATGCAGGGGCAGCCCCAGCTGCTCTGGGCACCCTGTGCCAGGGCCTGCCCACCCTGCCAGGGAACAATTCCTCATTGCC